TAGCCCATGACCCATGAGATTATGACCTGAACCAAAACCAAGAGCTCAAGGCTTAACTGACTGAGCTATCCAGGTGTCCCTGTATTGCCTTTTATAAAGCATTTCATTTAAAAAGATGTTAAAGTGGGAAGCCGGGGTGGCTCAGTTGGTTGAGCGGCTGCCTTTGGCTCAGGTCATGATCCCAGCATCCTGGGTTCAAGTCCCGCATCGGGCTCCTTGCTCTGCGGGGAGCCTGCTTCTCCCTCTGCCACTCTGTCTGCCTGTGCTCACTCTCTCTCTCTCTCTGACAAATAAATAAATAAAATCTTAAAAAAAAAAAAGATGTTAAAGTGTTGCTTGATAGTTGACCTAAGAGCATTCAGTTTCACAAAAAATAAAGAAAAGCTATCAAAGTGAAAATATGGAAGATATAGATTTAGAATGGTTAAAAAGCAATAAAAGACTTTACATTCCAGCAATGTTATAGATTAATGAGATTAAAACATTTATAGGCTTCTGAGAGTCAATTATCATATGGTTTCACTCACTTGTGGCGCATAAGGAATAACATAGAAGACATTGGGAGATAGAGAGAAGTGAGTTGGGGGAAATTGGAAGGGGAGAAAACCATGAGACTGTGGACTCTGAGAAACAAACTGAGGGTTTTGGAGGGGACCGGGGCTGGGAGGGTGGGTGAGACTGGTGGTAGGTATTATGGAGGACATGCATTGCATGGAGCACTGGGTGTGCTGCATAAACAATAAATTCTGGAACACTGAAAAGAAAAAATAAAATTAAAATAAAAATATTCATAGGGTTTTGTTTACATGAGTCTTTATGAAAACCGAACATCTAACACTCTTGTGCTATGTTGCTTTATATATTATGTATTTATAATTTATGTATTATACATCAATGAAAGGTTACAAAACATAAAGGATTCAGCTAACATAATATTTAAGAAGAAAGAACTTTAAACAGACAAGAGGCTGAAAAAAGAGAACTAAAAAGAAAATATTAGGGAAAAAAAGGAGTAAAAAAGTCTCCCAAATTACAACAAGTGATAAAATAATCTAAGATCAATAAACAATGAAACAAAGACACAAAAGAGATAAGATGATCCACATAGACAAAAGTTTTTGAAAAATAAAAACATGAAACAAACTCTTGTGATAGAACAAGAAAAAAGATACAAAAGTATTAGAAATATATAAGGGAACATGGCTAAACATTCAGCAACTATTACTATTAATTAAGAAGAGGATACTGTAAAAAAATTTCTTGTAAATAAATTTAAAAATTAAGATAAAATATCATTAATACCAGTTCAAGAAGGTCTAGGTAGCATAAAATTGAATAGAATAAAAGTCATTTAAAAGAATCAATCAGTGTTTAAAATCTACCCTTAAAAATTAAAAGATGTACACATAAAACAAAAGCAACAAGACTAGATAGGGTTTTTTTTGTTTGTTTGTTTGTTTTTTTCTTTAAAGATTTTATTTATTTATTTGACAGATAGAGATCACAAGTAGGCAGAGAGGCAGGCAGAGAGAAAGGGGAAAGCAGGCTCCCCGCCCAGCAGAGAGCTGGATTCGGGTCTCGATCCCAGGACCTGAGATCATGAGATCTGAGATCATGACCTGAACTAAAGGCAGAAGCTTAATTAACCCACTGAGCCACCCAGGTGCCCCTAGATAGTTTTAAAGGTAAATTCTATTAACCATTCAAGAGACAGATAATCCATATAAACAAGCTGTATCAGACACATAGAATGATAAGCTATTTTGAAAAATACAAATAGGTACAACACTGCTCAACTCATTTCATGAGGCTAACAAATCCTTTCAATGACACCAAGGCAAGGACATTATGAGAACGAGAAATCATAGGTCAAACTCACTTATAAAGAGAGAGATAAAAATCCTAAGTATAATATTGGAAAATAAATACAATATGTGTATATAATCATATAACAATGTTTACCACAATAGAGCTGGGCTAATAGCAAAAATGGAAAGATAGTTTAACACTAGATAATACATTAGTAATATTCTCCATGTTAACTGATTTCAGCTGAAAAAAATTGGAAGTCCTCAACAGATACATGAAAAAAGTTATATTCAATATCCATTGATTCTTAAAGAGTGAGACAAAGTAGAAAAGAAGGGAAGGAGGAGAGAAAAGAGACAAAGCAGGAGGGAAATAGCAATAGAAAAGAACCTTGTTACGTTGTTGATGGTAGCAAACAGAAAAAGAAAATTTATCCTTAATTGTGAAAAATCATGAACAAGACAATCACTATAATCAGAAATCCAGGTGATATAGTGAGACAAGGTGAGACAGGACATAGAAATTGAAAGAAAAAAAAAAGTTATGACTATGATTCACAAATAATATATCACAAATAATATGACACAAATTATTAGAATCAGTATAAGATTTTTTCATAAGAGCTCAGCAAAGTTACAATTTATAAAGTCTATATACAAAAATCATAAATTACTATAGCAATAAAAATTTTTAAACATCGATAAATACCATGAACACATATAAAATATATGCATAACTTTTTTAAGAGAATAGATTATTGCAATAAAATAAGAGCAGTAGTTAATGGGCATTTTGAGGAGAGCTACAGAATATGCAATAAAATCTAAAATATGTATGTGTCAGAAACATCAGTTTCACTGCTAGTTATATGAACTAGTGAAACATCCTCTATGTAAACAAAACATTCAAAAAGCTATTTAATGATAGCAAAAATTTTAAAAACTTGGAAAAAAAATCCAAAGTCCTGTATGTACATCACAATTCATTCATCAGTGAAATATAATGAGGTTAAAATGATGGGGCGCCTGGGTGGCTCAGTGGGTTAAAGCCACTGCCTTCGGCTCAGGTTATGATCCCAGGGTCCTAGGATCGAGCCCCACGTTGGGCTTCCTGCTCAACAGGAAGCCTGCTTCCTCCTCTCTATCTCTGCCTGCCTCTCTGCCTACTTGTGATCTCTGCCTGTCAAATAAATAAATAAAATCTTGAAAAAAAAAAAAAAGTGTAGGCAATGAAGGGCACTTGGATGGTTGGATGGTTCAGTGTGTTGAGCCCCCCATTCTTGGTTTTGGCTCAGGTTGTGGGATCTATCCCACTTGGGGCTCTGCATTCAGTACAGGGTCTGCTTGGGATTCTTTCTCCCTACCTCTCCTTCCCTCTCTGCTCCCCCCACTTCCCATTCACTCTCTCTTTCTCTCTAAAATAAATAAATAAATAAAATCTTTTTAAAAAATCTGTGGACAGAGATAAATTACATAAGGTTTTAAAACATTCAAGGGGCACCTGGGTGGCTCAGTCAGTTAAGGATCTGCTTCGGCTCAGGTCATGATCTCAGTGTCCTTGGATAGAACCCCAAATAGGGCTCCCTGCTCAGTGGGGAGTCTACTTCTCCCTCTCCCACTGCCCCACCCCACTGCTCATGCTCTCTCTCTCTCTCTCTCTCTCAAATAGATAAAAAAAAAAAACAAAAAACATTCAAATTAATAGCTGATACTACTTAGGGAAAATATACAATATATATAATATATATTTTCATGCTTCCTAATAATAAACGTCAAAATATCAAATTCTTTGGTTATCTGGTGGAAACAAGAAAGACATACAACTGAGATTGCTTGCACAGAGGTATTTAATTGGATCGATCTGTACATAGCATACAGTTGGGTCTTGCTTTTTTACCCAGTCTGAAAATATTTGGCTTAAACAGGATGTTAAGGGGGGACCTGGGTGGCACAGTTGGTCAAGCAACTGAGTGGTTTGGCTCAGCTCATTATCTCAGGGTCATGAACTTGAGTCCTGCATCAAGCTCCTCACTTGGCACAGAGTCTATTTGAGTTTCTCTCTCCCTCTGCCCCTTTCCCCTCTCAAATAAATAAATAAATCATTTTATTTATTCATAAATAAATAAATATATATATATATATATATAAATGGAGTGCGAGAATCACTTTATTTAATGGAATTGTGTTTGTGTTTATATCTACTATCATGTAATTTATTTTTTATTTGTTCTATTCTTTTCCTTGTTCTTTACTTTCTGCTTTGCAATTAATTGAACATATTTTAGTATTATATTCTATCTTCCCTTTTAATTTGTAGTTATTCCTTTTTGTTTTGTATTTTTAATGGTCACTCTAGAATTTATAATGTCCATATATTGCTTGTCACAGTCTATCTTCAAATAATCTGCTACTACTACAGTAAACTTCCATTTCCCTTCCCCAATCCTTTGGGACATTATTATGTCACATGTTACATCTACATGTATAATAAATAAGCCATAGCCAATATATTTGCTTTAAACAAACAAATATATTTTTCCAAATTTTTAAAAATGAGAAAAATGTTTTTCATATTTATCAAAACATATTTCTTATTTCCAGTTCTCTTTATTCATTTATAGATTGATGTTTAATTTTCTTTTTTTCTGAAGAACTTCCTTTAACATTTCTTGCAGTGTAAGTTTTTGGCAACAAATTCTCTCAGCTGTTTTTTTAGATACATAAGTATTTGTTTTGTCTTTCATGTTTGAAGAATATTTTTGCTGGGTATAGAATTCTATTATTTTATTTTTTTGGTACTTGAAAAATGTCACTCCTTTGTCTTCTAGTTGGCATAGTATTGAACATTCTTTAAATTAATTTTTTTCTTTACTTCATATAAATCCCCTGCTGTGACTATTTGAGATTTCTTTTATCCCTGTTTTCAACAATTTAATTTTGATGTGCTTAGGTGTCTGTTTATGTTTTATCCTAGTCGGGGTTCTTTGGACAATTCAACTAGCCTTATCAGAGAAACTGGGTTCCACCCTACCCTGATCTTGCTAACAATGACAACAAAATAAATGACAATAAGAAAATATTTTTGTAATATTTGTAATATAATTCTAATCTGAATTCTGCTGTAACTGTGAAATATAGACAACTGGCTTTTGTCTACACTAGTAAAGAATACTGACCTGGTTGAATACTCACATTTGAAAAGCAACACATCCATATGATCAATGCTCTTCAGTACAACTCTAAGACTTAATTAACAAAGGTATCCAAAGGAAGGATAGCTATTGTTTCTTATGTTAATTTTGATTGAGTTATTTCCCTGTCAGTAAAAAAAAAAAAAAAAAAAAAATTCCAAATTTTGAAGAGACTCTAAGAACCAAGGAGAATATATTACCTAAAGATTAAACTTTACAAACATTCAATGAGTTCAAACTGTGGCTTAGGTTCTATCAAAGTCACCTTTACATGATAAAGAATTATTAAAGATGTTATCCAGATGCAATTGCTATAAATTATCCTTAGACTCAACTTACATACTTCTCCATATTCACTGCCTACTATAGCCTCAGTCCTTGCTCAATGGTCAACACCAGCCATTACCTTCAACTCATCTTCTAACACCACTGTCTCTCTTGAGTTCCTCTAGGTGTAACAGTAAATTACAGCTTCCACTACTACCTCCACAGTCACAGACATTCATAATCCCACACCCACAGGAAGCCTGGCTCCTCCCACCACTTCCAAGAGTCTAATGAAGCCACAGAGTACACATTGTGAGATTTGACTTCCCCAACAATGATCTGAAAAGTACAAGGACAATAACATACCATGAGATGAGCTTTAACCAATGGGAAACAAAAGATAGGAAGATGCAGGTAGATAAATTTCTTTCTTTCTCAGTTCAGATACATTGACCTTTGAACAACACAGGGGTTAGGGATGCCAACCCACAGTCAAAAATCCATGTATAACTTTTAATTCCCCCAAAACTTAACTACTAAAAGTTAACAGTTGAATGGAAGCCTTGCCAATAAAATAAACAGTATAAACAGTCAATTAACACATATTTTCTATGTTATATGTGTTATATACTGTATTCTTACCATAAAGCTACAAAAAATACTATATTTATTGAAAAAAAATCCACATATCTTAAATACACAGTTCAAACCAATGTTGTTCAAGAATCAGCTGTAATTGGTTCTGTACAGCACGTCTGGAGATTTCCCACTTGACTAAACAAAAGTCTATGTTTTCTGATGCAGCTGTGGCCAGCCCAGTAACCACCTTGTATTTGTCTTTCTTTATACTGGTTTTTTGTTTGTTTGTTTGTTTGTTTCTTTGTTTGTTTTTTATATCCCCCTAGTATTGTACCCAAGCTTAACTTATACATCGAAATCTGATGACCTTATAATTCATTATTATATTCCTGTCACATCAATTCCTAAATATATTACAGCTTTTTGTGATTAAGTGGGATACTGTGTGATTTCTTAAAAACAGTTGTGAGTGTCAGAGACCCACAGTAACTTTGCCTAGAAATTCACAAGCTGCTTTTCAAAAATAGGAGTCTCAGTGTGTGGATTCCCTATGTCTATCCTGTTCTAAATGCAGATAAGAAAAAACTATGATGGGGCACCTGGGTGGCTCAGTGGGTTAAAGACTCTGCCTTCGGCTCAGGTCATGATCCCAGGCCCGGTGGTGTCAGGCTCTCTGCTCAACAGGGGGCCTACTTCCCTTCCTCTCTCTCTGCCTGCCTTTCTGCCTACTTGTGATCTCTGTCAAATAAATAAATAAAATCTTAAAAAAAAAAAAAAACTATGATAATAGTTGCAGAGACGTAGGAAGCCGTATGTCAAATGTAAATACAAAAATGTTAAGTGGGTATAGTAAGAAAGACCTCATATTATCTACAAAAATAATGAGGTGATCTTGAGAACAGAGTAAATCAAAGTTTGAGTATGGGCAGAATCTGTGAATATGATGAAATATAACTTCTATGATTATGTTAAATTAAATACCAAAAGAAGTTTCACAGATTTAATTAATGTCTACATCAGCTGACTTTAAAATAGGGATATTTTCAAACTGGGACTCATCTAATAATAAGAGCACTTTAAATCTTGGTTTAGAGGTCAGAGAAGTTAGAGAGATTCAAACTAAAAGGGATTTGATGCCTGAGAAATTCTCCACTGCTGGATAGGGCCATGTGGCAAGACATATGAGTGGCTTAAAGGAGCCAAGAGGAAAGGAGGATTTCAGTCCTACAACCACAAGAAACTAGATTCAGCCAACGACATATCTGATTTTAGACGAAGATTCTTCCACAGAGCCCTGAACACCCTGGTATGATTTCAGGTTTGTAAGACCCTGAGCAGAGAACCCAGCCAGGCCACACTGGACTTCTGACCTACAAAACTGGGAGCTAATAAATGGTTGTTGCTTTAAGTCACCAAGTTCATGGTAAGTGGCTATGCAGCAATAGAAAATTAATTAATATATATCTGGGAATGGGTCATCTGATATCTGATTATTGAATCAGTTAAACATAGCTATGCAGGCTATTACTAGCAATTATTTTTAAAGACAAAAGAATGTTAAATCCTTTCTTAAACTATATTCTTATTAGTAAGTTAAAATGTCACTATTTTAACATATGTCTTAGAGGCTTCTATTTTAGAATCAATTTTTATTCTCCTATAAAATGGCATTAGTAGTCTGCAAGTTATCTCTTTCCCACTGGCTAATTTTCAACAGTGTTGATAAAATCCTCCTTCAGTAAGTTAACATTTTACCTCTGAATCAGGTCCTCTAGAAGATATTTCCAAAAGAGAATGATTATTGTCAGTAATTTGCTATTTGCCCCTGTGAACAAATAGAATAATGATCACTGATGTTCATAATAAAAGGCCACAAGCACAGGAAATACATAAATGTTTTCTGATTAAAAATTCAATTATTTTAATATAGTTTATAAATATATTTTATTTCATTTTCTTTTATACTCCATTACATCTACATTTAAATTACTAAACACAGCATCTCCTTCAGCCATGTCATATAATAAAAAAGTTCATTTTATTTCTGCCCCAGATCTTTGTATCTGAACTTATATGTCTTCAGATATGTAAGGTATTGATTGAAAAAATATCTTTTCATCTTTATTATTTCTAAATAATTTGAAAAACATACTTTGGATCTCTTGGCTAAAGAAATAGAAAATGAATATAGAGGACCCCAGTCACATGGTCCTTAAATGCTCACTCATATAGGTATCCACTGAGAACATGCAGCAATCACAAGAAAACAGGGAACAGTAATGTGCATGATTTTTACTTGCACAGTTTCATACCTTCTATAGAATCACTTGATTTGTTACATGGTGAGAAGACAGAGCAACAGAATGCTAGCACCTTTCATTAAGTACTTCATGTTGATTTGTTTCTTAATTTTGAGAATTGCATTTAAATTTTTACTAAACCTACCTTAGGCAAACACTCAAGCAAGGAAAGAATGACGTTTGTGCAATGAACATGAAAAGCATTCCTTATAAAAAAGATAGAGAGAAGCGATAACCAACAAAGAATTCCCATATCCTTCACTTTACACTTTTAACTCTGAGTATCATTACAAAGACTAAGGGAATAATAAAAGATGTGTAATAAACTGAATAGATAAAATCAATTAAAGGTATTCATGTTCTATGTAATTAAAGAGAGAGAGAGTGATAATTTTTTGAATTAAATATTGAAGTTTAGGGACGCCTGGGTGGCTCAGTTGGTTAAGCAGCTGCCTTCGGCTCAGGTCATGATCCCAGCGTCCTGGGATCGAGTCCCACATCAGGCTCCTTGCTCGGCAGGGAGCCTGCTTCTCTCTCTGCCTCTGCCTGCCTCTCTGTCTGCCTGTGCGCTCTCCCTCTGTCCCTGACAAATAAATAAAATCTTAAAAAAAAAAAAAAAAGATTGAAGTTTAAAGGGTTTACTCAGAAAAACAGATAATCTCTGGAAATAAACTATACTAATAATGGTTTATTTCAAAGATTTAGCAATATGCTAGTCTTCATGATGTTAAAATAGTTTAACTGTGAGTGCTGAAAGACAGGAAATAAAATTTTTATAAAGATTTACTTTATTACTTTATTTATTTATTTGAGAGAGAGAGAACGACCAAGGGGTGAGGGGTAGAGGAGAAGAGGGAGACGGATAAGCAGACTCCATGCTGAGCACAAAGCCTGGTACAGGGCTCTATCCTACCATCCTGAGATCATGAGCTGAGCCCAAATCAAGTGTCCAATGCTTAACCAACTGAGCCACCCAGATGTCCCAAGCAATAAAAACTTTTAAATAAAAATGTTGGTTTCAATTATTAAAAAGAAAAAATACACAAGTCTGACAATCATAATTTGCATAAAATTTCATATTCAAGATAAATAGTGGGGTTTGCTTTAATTTGACAAGCAGTATGTATAAATTATCTCTACATAAATCAGTAATCACATTTATTCATAATAAATCAATATATTTACTACAAAAACATCCTTCTTTATGAAAAAACGTGTATGTGTGGGTGCATATACAGAATATGTACAAAGACTTTATGTGTGTACAAGCATAGATATTCATTCTAGTGTTATCATGCACCCAAATAGACAGCTCCATATAGTAAGTTTAAGTATAAAATAAAATTAATTTTCAATTAAATTATTTTTACTAAACTACATCCCCAGAAATGTCCAGCAGCTTCTATTAAAAACAGAAGCAAAGAACAGAAAATTAAAAAGAAAAATATATGTCTGATATTAAATAACATAACTATTAAAACAAAACAAAACAAAACAAAAAACCCTTAACTTCCCAGTGAAAAAGATGCTCTGGGCAGAAAGAAAATGACTAAAATACCAAAATACAAAGTTAGAAAATGGTTTGTTTAATAAAATAGGCTAACTCTTAATAAAAATCTACTATACTTCCTAGAATACTTTGATGATATGAAAATGATGAGTAAATTATTTTTCAAGTGTGATGTATCTAGGAAAAAGATCAGTGAAACAAAAAGAGTAATATCATCACAGCATACAAACAGAAAATTCACATATAGAAGGAAAAAATCACAGTTTACATTGCATTCATGTTTAAAATCAAACATCACTTTTTCACATTCTGAAGATTCCCCCCCCAAATATGGAAAGAAAAACAAGCCAGGGCTTTAATATAATATTTTTTTCCAACCTGGAACAGCTGCAAAAAACAAATCTTGCTGGAGATAAGCTTGGTTATAAATATCAACATTCCCTTTAAATAAGGGAGTCCAGTTTTCATACCATCTGCCTCTTTCTAAAAGGGAAAAAAATATGAAAATCATAAACTAGGACATCCTCTTTCAAATAAGGCATTTAAAAATGAATGTAGTAAAAAGGCTATGAACTCTTCTGAGCCCTGCCTTTAAACTTGCCCTGTTTAGCTCATATCAGGAAACAGGATTTCATGAAAGTAAGCAACTCTTAATCTATGAATAAAGTATCTAAAGCAATTAATAAAGAAACAAATGTTCTCAAACTTTTTCACATTTATTGGCCATAATCATAATTTCTGATAGGACCATATTTCTCCTTAATGCATCATACTCCTTACTGTTCATTTTTTAATTACACTTGTCACTTTTGTTACCTCTACTTTTTTCCAAAACCTTTTTACAGCCTGTGCCAAAGACTTTCGTTATCTCTTCTATACAAAAATCTAGTTACTAACAGAACTGGACTTTTCTTTTAATACAGATTCTATCCTCTGCAAAAATCTTTCCAATGTCTTTCTCAACACAGTGGTCTTATATACGAGTTTGGATTTTATCTTAAAACCGTCTTTCTTCTTTTGCCCTTAATTATTTTTCATTCTTTGTTAATGACCTTGTGATTGAACATTTTAATTTTTCACTGTATCACATCATTACTACTTCAATAATGAAGTCCATAAACCGTATCCATTATTTAACTCCTTAAAGCATTCATAAAAGAGAATTAATGAAAGATAGCCTACCAAATAAAGCAGTGCAGAGTGGTCTACTGGAGATGCATACATAAAGGAAGATCCTGTATAGGATACTAAGATCACTGAAGAGAAAGTAGAAGAAACCCAAGACAGAAAGAAATAGCGTCCTCTATTTTAACAATATATGTAAATGTTTAGTCAATTTCTGGAATTACAGTGGTAGGATTCTGAAAAGCTACTGTAACAAAGGTACCTAGGAAGCCCTGACATAATTCATTCCCATATTTATTCTCTCCCTTCCTCTTTTTCTCATACACATATAAAGACACACTGATATAGCTGAACAAAAAGAACAAAATTGAATCTTCAATCATGAGCATTTCCTATTATTTTAAGGTACTAAGACTACACTTAACTGTGTCCTTCATAGGAAAAATATGTCCAAAGACTTTTTTTAATTCACTTTCATTCCATTTTAGCCATAGACCACCCAGATCTTTAATTACACAAAACAAAGTTCTTTTACAAATGACAAAAGACAATTAATTGCTTTCTTGGAATGCTGCATCTTCAGTGTATAAGAAGGGAGGGGAGGAAGAGATGTCTTCAAAATAATGGTCAATAATATTTAATCTCTAATTATTTAACATAAATGACCATTTTATATCAATATTTCATCCTTTTCATGATTTGATGTAGGCACTACAAATGATGTGAACAATTAGATTATCAGTGTTCCAAAAGAAAAGTTGTTTTACTTTAGATCTACCAACTATTTAAAAATATTAAAAAGGCTTTTTCATATTAAATGTAGTCTATTGTTTATTTTCTGAATCCCATCCACTAGAACATAGTACCACAAGAGTAGGGATCTTTGTTTTTATATATTAAGAATCCAAAACAATTAGAAAATGGTGGCACACATGTTTTTGAGCAAACAATTTTCAGAAGACAGTTACATTAAGTTAAATCATCCATATTTTTATGGTTCATTATCATAAACAATTAAAAATGCTTTGAGTTTTAAAATATTACTATAAATTCTCTAACTCTTATAGGAATATGAGACTGATAAAAGGTGGGTTAACTCTTCTCTATTTTAATTCACTTCCTTTCTGGTTCTATTACTTTTTAGTTGTTTACCAAGCTAAGCTCATTCACCATTTTTTAAATGGGCACAGTAAGAATACCTATCCCATACTGCTATTGTGAGCACTAAATTAAATAGCTAAATATATTAAGTACTTAACATGGTGCTTCTCACATAGTAAATGTTCATTAAATATTATTAGTATCATTACATCATGCTGGTTTAATCAATTACTCATTGCTGAGGGGCCACACAGTCCAAATGGCTTTTATAAACAAATAAACAAACAAAAACAATCTGAACTTGATGACCTTACATTCATTTAAAAAGTAAATGAGCTCCTTTATAGTTAAAGCTCTTAGAGTGTAAGAATGGTCTGAGAATATACTATTAACTTAATTACATATAAATTGTATGCTGTTCTGTATTAACTTAATTACATATAAATTGTATACTTTTTTGCTACTATTTGGTCTCCTAACTATCCTCTACTATCAGCTAAGTGGCTTCAACAAAAGTATCTTTGGATTTACTTTTAAGATGCCAAATTACATATGCACTTTTTTTTTTAAAGATTTTATTTATTTATTTGACAGAGAGAGATCACAAGTAGGCAGAGAAGCAGGCAGAGAGAGAGGAGGAAGCAGGCTCCCTGCCAGGCAGAGAGCCTGATGTGGGGCTCGATCCCAGGACCCTGGGATCATGACCTGAGCAGAAGGCAGAGGCTTTAACCCACTGAACCACTCAGGTGCCCCTTACTGTTAGCAAGTATTGGAAATTCTGGAGTAAGATAGTACCACTTTCATGCTTACAGTATAAGCACTCAAAAATACTTTGGAGGGATGTTTGGGTGGCTCAGTTGGTAGGGCCGCTGCCTTCGGCTCAGATCATGATCCTGGGGTCCTGGGATCGAGTCCCTCATCGGGCTCCTTGCTTGGCAGGGAGCCTGCTTCCTCCTCTCTCTCTGCCTGCCTCTCTGCCTGCTTGTGTGTACTCTCTCTCTCTGACAAATAAATAAAATCTTTAAAAAAATAAATACTTTGGAAAATGGCAGGCTCCTAAACAAACAAACAAACAAACAAATGGGCTTAAACACTAGTCCCCAGTTTTAAAACTAGTAACCGTTATCTCTAATCTTTGTCAAGAGTTCCTAATTACCCTCCAATCTAAGAAAAAAATCTTCTCAGGGCAACATTCCCATCAATTCTTTGTTATTTCCTCCTCAGGAGTTGTACTAAGTTGTACAAGTTTACATATATAAAATTTATATACCTAAAAAATATTTTTATATATCTATATGCATATGTATCTGTATTCCCACCACATGCATTGAGCAGGTCAGTATGGTTCTCTAGGGAAATAGTATGATATTAGATAAAACTGATTCTTTCATCAAGGTCTCAAAACTTCAATTTGCAATAATAAATGTAGCATCCTAAATTTTTTTTTTTTTGAGATTTATTTACCTATTCATTTGACACACAGAGAGAGAGAGAGAGCACAAGCAGGAGTAGAGGCACAGGGAGAAGGAGAAGCAGGCTCCCAGCCAAGCAGGGAGCTCACTCTGGGGCTCCATCCCAGGACCCCAAGATCATGACCCAAGCCAAAGTCAGATGCTCAACTGACTGGGAGTCACCCAGGCATCCCAGCATCCCAAATATTTTAACCATAGTCCTAATATACATGGGAAACAAGAAACATGATTTTAGAATATCCTTTAAATCATAGAACTTTCTAAGCAATGTCTTCTAAAACCTTTAAGAAAAATATCACAGGTATTCCAATCATTTCTCGGTCTTCTTTAAAAAAATTAAACTTTACTGTCACATTTACTACTTTATTTGAAAGCATATCATAAAAGAATGATTTTATAAAAGCACTGGATAACTACCTCACTAGTTTTAGAAATTTGTATTCCTTCTGTTATGAAATAATTGGGTCCTTATTATCACATTAACCAAAATTTGGGGACTGGAACTAGATTGTATCTCTTGAGTCCATCTAATGGAAGCTGCATACACAAAAGCTTTTTCAAGTGTATATTTTTAAATTATTACTGAATTCTAAACAATTTAAAGAAAAAGCAACCGAGCTTCCCAAAGCAATTTCTATAGTAAAGTGTATAATCTGATTTTTAACAAGTGCATAACACTTCCCAGCAACGTCTCTGCCTCAAGTTGGCTGTATGTCCCATTTGACTCAGTAGCCATTACAATTTGTAGGGCTCTCCTGAAGTCTTCCACCCACCTTCATTCTATTCTAGGCACATGAGCTGGTTTCCCAAGTCACAAAGAATATATAGATCACTAGGTAAGAATTGCTCACTTGCTAGCTTATTCTAACTTACTCTCTCACACACATTAAACACACATAAATCCACACATACGCTAAGGTACAAACACTGTTCATGCCGTTACCTCTACTATAATCTCAGTGGATGAAGTGTCCTGTCTTCCACCAAGGCTCCCCCTCTGCCCTGGAGTCCACCTCCATGTATATACACTTTTCCTGCCCTTTTACCTTTTGTTCCGTTCCTTTACCATTTTCTCTGTCATTGCATTCATCTGCAGTCTCACCAGCATTATTGCGTATCATAATTGGTCTTACTGTCTCTGGTCTTGCTCCCCTCAAACCATCCCCCATACTGCTTCCAGAATAATCTTTTGTCAATTAAGTTTAATCAAGCAAATCCCCCTGAAGTATATTATATCCTTCAGTGTTTCCTTATGGGCTTCAGGATGGAGTTCTAATTCCATAGTTTGTGTAATCAAACCCCCATTCTCCCCCCAATCTCTTTAACCTATCTTTATCCCACACCAACACTGTGCTCTAACTACTTTGAATTACATACAGTTCCCTGAAATTACCACACTCCATAACAGCTTACCCTTTGCCCATGCTCTTCCTTTCTCTGAAATACTTTCTCTTTACGTTGATATCTTATACTCCTTTAAAACAGTAGAAAAGTATAACAGTAGTCATTAATTCTACTCACATATCTTCCAGTTTTCCTCTCCCTCTGGGTAGAGACGATATTGCACTTCACAGTCCCCCTTTTGAAATTTGTTTTGACCAATAAAACTCTAAATGCCAGTGCATAATTAACCACTCTCTTCCCATTGCTGCATCTGGATCATGGAAGTGTATGAGCTTTCCTACTAACAGATTTTAGACATGTAGTCTCTGTGAGAAATAAACATTTGTTGTGTTAGGACACTGTGAATTGGGCTTATTTGTTCCTACAGCATAACCTAGGCTATTCCAGCTGATTAAAAAAAAAAAAAAAATAGGTTACCTTTCTCAGGAAGGCTTCCATGAGCCCAACACAGTCTGACTCAAATGCTGTTTCTCCAAATGATGATAGCTTTGTATTCATACCTCATTACAACACAACACTGTAGTAAGATGGCTGCTATAACCATCCATCTCCCTTCAAACAGTCCTTAGAAGGGCAGGAACTGTGTTTTCCATCTCTGTATTGCAGAGGCAGCTTTTAGGCAAACAGGCTTGAGCAATGGAATATAGAAAAAGGCCCATCAAGAGCCTACCTCAAAATATCCATAGGCCCTAACTGACCAATAGGGTACTTACAATTAGGCACAGATAACCAAAAAGGAGAATTCCATAGGTGGTTATACCGCCTCACCTTCCCCCTTTAACAGCCTCCACCCACCAACTCATTGCAGACAGCCTCTCCTCTACCATTCTGCCCACCTCTCTCCCTTGCAGTATATTCAATAAACTTCTGTTTCCTTTGTTCTGCCTCAGGTGAACTCTTTCACCCCCTGCACTACAGCTTCTACCTGATCATCACCCCCCATCCAATGAAGAGATGCTCCATTTGGACACCACATGTAGGATTACCAATTAGCACAAGTGCCTCACTCATGGTAAGTGAAACACTGAGACGTTTGCTAAGTTAACTGGTAATTCGTTCATTCACTTATCAAGAACCAAAAACTACTCTAGTTGCTAGAGATAGAGTAATACCAAAGCAAAAAAAAAAAAAAAAAAGCCATCTGCCCTCATAGGACTTGATTTTCCTGTGAAGGATAATGACAATAAGCAAGACAAGTAAGTATAAAATATATAGTTTATTATATAGTGATAAATGCTAAGTGGAAAATATAGAGCAGGGATATGTGGATGGTGACCAGGTGATCTTGTAATAAAGACCCAAAGGAAAGTAAACAATGTGCTATACAGATATCTAGGGAAGAGCATTCAGTAGAGAGAATGGTATAAAAATCCTGAGGGGGAACATGCCTGGCATGTTCAAAGAACAACAAAGGAGCCAGTATGGTTGGGCAAGTGAGTGATTAGAGATGAAATTAGAGCAGTAACAAGGAACTATCTCTTGAAGAGGCCAGTTTAAGAGCTTTTAGCTTTTATCTTGAATGAAACAGAGAGCCATTGAAAAGTTCTGCGTGGAGGAAGAGTGGAAGAGGATAGCAGAGGATAAGGTCAGAGATATAATGGGGGCCCATATTCTTTGATTGTACAACATATTTCCTCTCCCACAAAACAGGTGAAACACAGATATACCAATTAATCAAGAAAGGTTAAAAATGACATTGAATGACATTTTATGATTATCTCAATCTGCTTATTACTTACTATACAGAGACATTGATTATAATCCATATATAACTACCAAAATATAGTAGTGTGCCAAAGTATCATAGTGTATCAAACATAAGAGAGATCAAGTACAAAAAGAGAGAGAGAGAGAGAGAGATCAAGTGCTTAAAGTAGAAACAAATCCTAGTAGACAATAAAACTGAATGATTTAAAAAATCAGATATAGATTTATAGCTCTAGGGATCTTGCTCTCTTTATTTAGATTTGCCCAAATACAAAACAAATAAAAATAAAATCATCCTCCCATTGTAATACTGCCTTCTATAAAAACTACATTCCAAACTCAAGTTCATTGCCAGAAGCAAACAAACCAAACCAAACCAAAACAAAACCAAAAAAAAAAAACAAAAACAAAAAAAACAAGTGAAAGAAAACAAACCACAAGTCAAAACACCTTTTGCCTTTGCCAAATGTTAAATCAAATAAACACACCTTGTGTTGTGTCCTTGATGCTGCCAAGTCTGAACTCTGGAGAGCTGCCAAGGGGTAAGACGTTTCCAAAGGCAAGATCTTTACTGAGGAAGCTGCGCTTGCATTCCTGGCAAATTCAATTCCAGATACCAATAACAATGCTCTTGGTTGCTTTTTCTTACTGGAATTCAAAGTAGAGTATATGGAAACATTATAAATGGATGATCTCCAGTGCCCTAATACCTACAAAATAAAATCACTGTGGTAGCATTTTCTAAGAGGTGTTTCTTGGTTTGCTAAGTCTGTTACACATTCCTTGAATTAAGTTTCTCTGGTCAAATATACTCAGAAAATGTTGCGTATCATGCTCTTTTTTTCACAAAGCATACCTTCAAAAACAAAGCTCTGAGAAATCCTGTAATAGAGAAGCCTATTTAAATTTACTTGACCCAATGTGTCTAAAATTTATTTAATTAAAGACCCCCTTTCCACTGTAATAAATAGTAACATTATTTCTGCAGATCACACTTTAAGAATGGTTCATTTTATAGTAATTATCTAAAAAGTAGTTAGAGATGTATTCACTATATTTTAGAATTGAATAGGAATATAAAGAGACCAATTTGAATTTGTTTTCTGTTAGTAATTTATACAGGGTCAACCTATAAAAATAATTTTATTTAACCATAATTGCTTAAATATGTTACTTTCTAAACTAAATTCCCATTAAAAAGCAAGAAAGGAAACAATCAAATAATAGATGATTTATTCATTTTTGTTTGATAAATATTTACTGAATACCTATTATGTGTCAGGCACTGAACTTATCTCTAGTTTTATATTGCAATTGCCCTTATATAGATACTCTTATCTATGTAAGACAATGGTTCCAAACCATTGTCTCATAATAGTAACACCAACTCAAAATTTAACCCCAAACATTTGAGAACACAAGTTTCACTAATTCTAATCATATCATTAAAAATAGCTTGCAACCTTTAGGCTGTTTTTAAATAGTGATAATAATCCAGCTCAAGTGTGATAATACAAAAGCATAATCTTTTAAAAATGGTGCTGCAAAAGAATAAAATTGAAGTCTGACATGGAAAACAAAGGCAAAAAGAATAACTAAATTTCCTTACTACCTACAGCCCACTGCCAAGTCCTTTAAACAGGCAGAGTGACATTCCTCTAAGGACTCAACTGCCCCGATGTTAATACTTTGCTAAGGGCTAAAGGCAATCTTAATCTGACCCTCAGGATCCTGTAAGTCTACTTTAACACATAAAAATCTCTTTGGAAACATCTTTTCTCGCTATCAACGCATCCCCCTCCAAGATGCATGTTGGCAATCATCCCCCAAGTTTATTACCCACTGACAGACAATAATAAATGACCTCTTCCCAACAACAGCTAGTCCCCTCAAGGTCCTGGAAATCCAAAAAGGGATAACATTATCCCGAACCCCTCCCAACTTGAAAGTTGGTATATAATCAGCCACTCTTCATGACCCCAGTGCAGCTATTTCTGAAAACACAGTTCCTTATCCCTGTGCTTTAATGAAACCACCTTTTTGGACCAAAGACGTCTCAAGAATTCTTTCTTGGCCGTTGGCTCTGAACCTTAACATCTTTCCTACATCAAAGTCCTGTTTTACCATACACAAAATTTAACTTAAATGAATCACAGACCTAGAGGTAAATACTGAAATTATAAAAGGCTTAGAAGAAAATGGAGGAGTAAAACTTCATGACCTTGGGTTAGGCAATAGTTTCTTAGATATAACACCAAACATACAAGCAACAAAAGAAAAAATAGGTAAATTGGACTTCATCAGAATTAAGAAAAACCTTTGTGCTCCAAAGTACATGACCAAGGAAGTGAAAAGACAACCCAGACAACAGGAGAAAATATTTGGAAATCACATATCTGATATGGGTTTTATACCCAGAATGAAGAACTCTTACAATTCAACAGTAAAAATGCAAATAATCCAAATTTTAGAAGGCAAAGGACTTAAATAGAGATTTCTTCAAAGAATAAAAACAAATTGCCAATAAGCACATGAAAAGACAGTAGATTTCATTCATCACTAGGGAAATTCAAATCAAAACTACAATGAGATACCACTTCACTAGACAGACAATAAGACGTGTTAGTGAGGATGTAGAGAAACTAGAATCTTCATACCCTGCTGGTGGAAAAGTAAAATGGTGCACAGCCATCTTCAAAACAGTTTGGCAGTTCCCCCCAAAACCATAGAGTAACCATATGACCCAGCATTTCCACTCCTAGGTATTTACCCAAGAGAAATGAAAACACATGTCCACATAAAAACTTGCACATAAATGTTCATAGCAGCATATTCTTCTAGCCAAAAAACAGATAAATAAAATGTGATATAACAATTCAATAGAATATTATTCCACCAAAAAAGGAATGAAATATTGATACGTGTGACACCATGGGTGAACCTTGAAAACATTATTCTAAATGAAAGAAGCCAATCACAAAAGTCTAGTTAATACATAATTCCTATTGTTCTCTTTATATGAAATGTCCAGAGTGAGAAAATCTATAGAGACAGAAAACAGGTTAACAGTTAGGTAAGGCTGGGAGTGAGAGCAGAAGAGATGGGGCATGACTGATAATGGGTACAGGGTTTCTTTCTTGAGGTTATGAAAATATTCTAAAATTACATAGTGGTGATGGTTGTACAGCTTTGTGAATATGCTACAAAACTTCTGAATTGTACATTTAAAATAATAAGTTTAATGGTTGTGAACTACATCTCAATAAGGTTATTAAAATAAAAGAATCATAATAATATATATCTGTAGTCCTTATCTAAAATGTTTGGGCCAGTTGTGTCTTAAAGGTTTTTAGATTACAGAGAGGTAATATGTCTCATTTACTGTAATTACAAAACAATCCTAGAGGAATGTAGGGACAGTATATTAATACTTCATAGCAGAATCTTATCACTATTGACAATAACTAGAAAAATAAACACTACATAAATAGTTCCATGTCATTTTAAATACAGTTTTGTCTCAACTGAGTTTATGTAATACTTGGGGAAAAATTTATTTTGCAAAACCATTTTTTTTTAAATAAGTTTTGGGTTTTGAAAATGTGAATAATGGGTATTGGACCCTTATTAATGATGATGATTAATATTAGCAACAATAATCATATCAGCAGTTTCCATTTACTGTGCATTACATGTCACATGTATTATCAGAAAGAAATTCTCATAACATTCCTGTGGGACAAGTACAATTAACTCCAACTGGGAAAGCTGAGTTTCCTAACAATTAAGTGACTTTTCTAAGCACACACAGTTAACAAAGAAAAGGGCACAGATCTGAATGCAAATCTACCTAATCATAGAGCATACTCACTTTCCTCTACAATGAAGAGTATGTTCAGATCATCCCTCTGAGATATAGACTTCAAATCTATAAAATGGAGTAAAGAACTCATATATATCAGAGATTATTATAAGAATGAAATGAGATCATTTTTATGAAAATAATGTGGCAAATATAAAAGTCTATATAAATGTGAGAAAATATTATCTGGAATACTATTTTTATTATATATCTAAATCAATGTTTAAAGTGAGATACAGTTTTAGTCCAATTCTTTACAGGCATTCAAAATACACTAATTTTATTTGAAGAAACACTAAGCATTAAACATTGTTTTTTAAATATCTAAGAAAAGAAAATCCAAATGTGTTAAAGTGGTCCATAACTAAACGTCTATCTCAAGTTTTTATAAGCCATATATAAAACTGGTGCAGTGTGCAAACATATATATTGTGTTTGGTCTTAAAGTAGTTTTGTGTACCCAGGAGAGGCCAGACAGATTATATTTTTTACATTATAGGTAACTTCTTAATCTTTTGAAATCTTAAAATTATTTCAGTTTATTTAATAGTCTGCTCACAAAATTTATGTACCATTTAAGTTTCTACGATAATTAGAGGATTATCTATATATCCTCCCTCAAGGAAAATGTTGTTATAAATACGACATGCGAGGGTATATCCCAATGCAACTTCTGTTCCATGATGGTATATTCATAGCATTAAAAAAATTTAGGGAGTGCTATATTTGAAAATTTAAGAACCATTATTCTAAAATACCGATCCAATCACATGGGCTTTACAGTATAAAAATCTAAAATGGATCTTCACTGCCTATAAGATGAAAATTGCTTTGTATGGCATATAAAACAGCCATCTCGGCCTGGGCCAGCAGGTCTTTATTGCCTCCACTCCAGCCACTTTTCTGTGTTCCAGCCACTGAATTTCTTTCATTTCCCATCTATGTGATCCTATTGACAGCTTAGTAGCTTTACAAATCTTGTTCTCTTTGCCTTGATGTTACTTTAGCCCCAGCCTTACCTACCTTAAATTCACAGGCATCCTTCAAAACCTTTCAAAGCCACTCCCCCTATATAATTCACCTATGTCTGACAAACAGATCTTTGCTGATTAACTGATTGATACGTAACTTAATACAGTACATGCTTATCTCTATAAGTACACAGATTTTTGGTATACATAAAGTATTACTATTTCTTACAATACTGCAATAATTAACTGAAAGTCTTTGGAAATGAAATTCTGAAATCTTTACATGAGTATGTTTCATTTATGGCACAGAGATGAAAAAAAGAAATTTTGTATGATTAAATATAAAGAATAATAGACTTATTTTTAACCCCAGTCCATATAAGACCAAGAAAAGCAGGGGCAGGGCGGGGGGGGGGGGGGGGGGAGTAGAACACTGCAAAGCAATTACTAAGTAAATTTGGGTACCTTGAAATAAAAAGAAAATTCCAATCTTATACACTAAAGTTTATAGTTTAGGGCAAGAGTTGCAAACTTTTCCTATAAAACACCAGATCATAAATTTTTAGGCTTTGAAGATTGAGGGAAAATCAAATTATAACTGTGTCGCATCAATTTGTAGTGCTCTGAGCAATACAAAGCAACACACCCACTCATTTGCTTATCTGCTGCAACTACTCAACACTGCAGTTTAAGCACCACATACAATATGTAAACATATGTGTAGGTGTGTCCCAATAAAACTTTATTTGTAAACAAAATTTAAAATCCATGTTTACACCACAAAATATTGTTTGTTTTTTCCAACCATTTAAAAGCAAAAACTATTCTTAGTTCAAGGGTCATAAAAAACAGCAGTGAGCCAGATTTGGGTAGCCCATGGAACATAGTCAGCTGATGAATGGTTTAAGTATATATTTTTTTCCGAGTAAACAGATCCCCTCCCAGAGCCTCCAGAAAGGAATGCAGCCCTAGTGATACCTTGATTTCAGCCCATTGAGAACTATGTCAGACTTCTGAACTACACAGATCTATAAGGTAATGAATTTGCGGGGTTTTTTTGGGTTTTTGTTTTGTTTTGTTTTTTAAGATTTCATGTATTTATTTGACAGAGATCACAAGTAGGCAGAGAGGCAGGCAGAGAGAGAGAAGGGGAAGCAGGCTCCCCGCTGAGCAGAGAGCCCGATGCAGGGCTCGATTCCAGGACCCTGAGATCATGACCTGAGCCGAAGGCAGAGGCTTTAACCACTGAGCCACCCAGGTGCCCCGAATTTGTGGTTTTTAAAGTCACTAAGTTTGTGGCAGTTTGTTAAAGCAAGAATATAAATTAATACAGTTCTCATTTTTAGTTTCTTCCTCATCTTTTTGTTTTACCTTTTTATCTTTCTACTGTCACTTAATCATTGTCTGTCCTTTTTATATGGAGTTCTCCTATCCATAGAGGCCATGAATTCTTGTATTAGATGTCAAAGAATTTCCTCAAATGTTCTTCTGTAGCTTAAAATTCTTGATTTTCACAGGTATTTCATTGAATCTTATGCTTAACTCTTCCTTGGATTTGTGGGGTTTTTTTATTCTACTCTATTCATTTCAAATGCTAAATCTATCCAGAATATTTTGGCATTGAATGAGACTATACAGATCATTTCTACCTAGTCGAGTCTTTTCCAAATGTATATATGTATGTATGGGGGGTGGGGTGGAGATGTTGAGGAGAGGAGAGGAGGCAGAGAATGGACACCTAGGAAATGACAAAATGGAATCAGAAACTGGTTCTTTTTAAAATTATACCTTTCCATCCTTAAAAAAATCTGATATGCGCCTGCCCAGAGAGATTCAGTGCTATACTGAACCACTGTGAATAATGAGAATGTATTATAATGTTCAAGCACATTCTTCATAAAAATGGAATAACCTCATAAATCTTCAACTGTATATATTCAGTTATAAGGAACTTGATGCCTGAAACATTATAAACCACCCCCCACTCCACCCAAAATAATGTATCTACTGCTGGAGCTAAGCCAAAACCTTTCAGTCCAGTGTACCTTCTATCTAGTGTAGATATAAACTATAATCCACAAGTAGGACTTTGTCACAGGTACCCATATAATTTATTATTCTACATCCTAGAATATTCGAATATTTTTAATATCTATGATAAAATGTATTTTGGGTTTAACCATCTTCCTTTTTTCTTTGCCAAAATTTTAAGTTGATCAGTCTAATTGGTCTTCTAATTTTGCAACTATATCACTATATAATACTCCTTTTTTAAAAAAACATTTTCTTTATTTATTTGAAAGAGAGTGAGAGAAACACGAGAAGGGAGAAGGTCAGACAGAGAAGCAGACTGCCCATGGAGGTGGAAGCCCCACACAGGACTTGATCCCAGGACTCTGGGATCATGACCTGAGCCGAAGGCAGTCGCTTAACCAACTGAGCCACCCAGGCACCCACTACATAATACTTCTATAGAAGAACTAAGCATCTTTTTAATCCTGTTGTCATTCTCCATGTTCAGTGGCTTGAAAACCATGAAACTGATAAGATCCTCTCACTTATGCAACTGTCTCCACCTTCTGATTCAACAAAACAGAATTTGTTAAACCTCTGAGTACAGAGTATTTATCTTTCTATTGTTTAACATTCCCAAATTAGGAGGCTAAGAAATCATTTTTTCTTTTTCATGAAACTGTATACCTATTTCACTCTGTTGTTGCAAAGATACTTAACAGGTATGGATGTAAGAGGTGTGAAAAGAATTAGCTCTAGGAATCTATGATCCTTATTTGTTCAGTTAGATATGTCTTGAGGATATCAAATATTATAAAATATGCATCACTACTTTCCATTAATATTGTTTTGGACATTCTGGGAGAATACCAAAAAACGACAATTTCTAAGCAATATTTTTATTAAAACCGTCACACTTAGAGCTAAATCTGTTGATATCAAAAATATGAATACAGAGGAACAAAGACTCGGGAGAAATCTGGCCTAGCCTCATGTTTCCATGTGGAGGAACTTCACTGGAAGAGTGGTTCTCAAAGGAGGTATTTTTGGCTTTGGAGGGGAGGAAGAAAATTCTTCATTGAGCTGTACCTCTATATACACAGGGTCCCAAAAGCCAGGAGCTTTTAAACACATAGTAATAATTTAAAAACACCTCTGCGTATTTCAAATGACCCAAAGGGATCACCCAGGGTAGAAAATCAGAACACTAGGTTAACAGTCCTGGCCTCAGATCCCACTCCCTACTTGCGGCTTCCCAAGAGGAGAGTTATCTGATTGATGGCTGAAATCCATTGGTCCATATTACTCCAATGGGTAGACAGTAACTACTGCAAATCTGTAAATACTAGAGGTTTTCCTTCTTTTACTTCACTCTCCTCCCTGGGCCATGCCTATCAGTAATTCCAGGTAAGTGCATCTTTTCTGCAAACTGAAATTTTCTCTCACTGAAGTCTAGGTTCTGAGAAAAGAAGCAGAGGTAGAAAGGGACAGGAAGTACTAGTATTCATTTCTATTCTCCTATTGAAATTATTATGCCCAATCAGCTATTTAGTAATGAAGCTGATATTGTAAACTCCACCTGTTAACAAACTCAAGAGAGAAAAAAAGCTATTATTTATTGAGGCCCTAAAAACTTTAATTTCATTAGAATGCTTTCTTTAATCCATTTGTCTTTATACCAGCTTCTCCACCAGAAATGGGAGTTAAGAAAGGATAATCAAATACTGAACAATTCAAATGAAATTATAAATGCTAATAAAGAAAACAAGTGCTCCTAAATACTCTTATGTTTATTACAAAAGCAATATATATTTTCTTTTTCCAGTGTTTTCCCTAATGATAATATCTACTACAGATGCCCGCTTTATTGATAAACCTCGATAAGAAAATTCAGCAAACAAAATAACCTCATTTATAGCCTTTTATTTAAATATAGAAACCAAGAAAAGAGCCACAGTGGAACCAACCACAATATTTTTTAGCCACAAGAAATTAAAATAGTACAAAAGATGACTCACTTAAGTTGTAGAAAGGAGTCTAGGAGTCAGGTTATGGTATTCAAGTGGCATATGCTAAACATAATCAGTTTTTCTTTGTCCAAAATGGACTTTGATAGAAGAGAAAGTTTATGTATTTAATGTTAATCTCAAAAATACCATTTCACATTTTCTCAAAATATTTGACAATAACTTCTCTTTCCACTGGCATAAGTACAAGAATATCCTTTAAGAGAATGATCAAAAGGTATTTGAAAAAAATTACAGCTTACATGGTTTTGAAATGACAGCAACAATCTATTGGTAGTTCCTGTTTATTAAATAGTTTAAAAAAAAAGGATTGGCTTAAGATTCTGAATTAAACTATGGTAAATGCATTGTGGAAGAAAGGAAAAAGACCCAATTCTTTTCCCAACTATATACTCACTCTCTCTTTGAGATGAGGTAAGGGGGAGAGTAATTTCCTTATCCCTCAAGAAGTTGATCCAAAATAGGATCTTAATCCAGGACCACTTAGGCTTCCAACTGTGTCTTTCTCTAAGGGGAGAGTCAACAGCTTTCCTTGGCTTCTCAAAGCGGTATATGGCACCAAAGAGGTCATTCATCTTTGGATTAGAAGGTAATCTTTCCCAATCCTTTCAGGCTATGTGTATACTTTGAAAAACCAGTGATGTCAAGTAAGGGGGGAGAGGGATGTCACACAAAACATTTAAGGTGCTATGTAACCAGAACTATTACAGAATCATTAACATAAAGGAGGGAACTACAGACCCAGAGTAGTTCCAATGATAAAAGAAGTCACAAAGGAAGTCTGAAAATATTTAAGCTGAATAATCATACTTCTGTGTTTACAAATTCAGATTATACAGACAAAAAGATAAAATGTAATCAGTAACATTTTATATCTGTGTAGATCATTAATAATACTTTCATAATCAATTACCCCTTCTTACTCTTTAGGAACAAAGGGCACAGAAGCCCCACTTTATAGATGAGAAAAGTTATGAAAGTTACTGCCCAAGGACAGTATTTCCTAAGCCCGCCTGTTTTCTGACTTATAGGTCAAGGTTCTCCCCAGTGTTATCAAGCAGTACAAGCTTCCTTCTTGGGGATTTATACAGTAAACCTAGCAGAAGGAAGTAAAAGCAGATTTTTAGCTCCTTTTGTGTTTTCTCTCTGGAATGTTTGTTCTGCTGAATCATTTGGGGCCAACTGGTAAGAGCAAAGAGATCTGAAGTGGTTTTCTGTGGTTACCATCTTACAGTTAATCATTGAAGGTGGATCAGTGAAGCCAAGGGGCTTTACATAAAGCTTAATATTACCCACTCTCCACAGAAGACATGGAGATCATGTATTGAGGCCTGTCCAAAAACGAATAGCCTCGACTTCCGGAGCTGCTCATTGTGCTCAAACGGTCACCAGTGAGAAAAAGAATTCTAGGTGGAAAAGACTGGATCTCCTATCCACCTTTCCCTAGCCATCCACATGGACACCAACACTTTGTGGGTTCAGGGATTCACCAAGAACCAAGCAAAGATCCTCTCCCCATCCCACTCCAGCGCCCCCCTCCTCCGTGCAAATAAAGCCACCTCACGCTGCCTGTTTTGGTCTGCAGATGCTTATTAAGAAGGAAAGGCGGGGGAAAGGGGGAAAGGACGGAGAAGGGTAATACTGGGGAGGGACGCCAGACAACTACTGATCGGGAGAGCCGGACAGTAAAATAAACGAACGCTAATTAACTGACAGCACAAGGAAGCCAATCCCTAGCCAAGTGAGAGGTCGGTCTCGGGAGGTGGGCGGGACTAAAATTTCCAGGGCCCAGGGCCCCAGCCGGACACGCTGGCAGGGCGGGAACCGCGCGTTCCTTAGCAACAGCGGCGGCCACGCCCACCCCGCTCCCCAACACCAGACCCGCCATCCCCACCCCCACCGCGAGCGTCCTGTTCGCCAGAAGGGGTCCTTAAGTTATTACCATACCTACTGGGTTTCCCGGGCTTCGGGTTCCCCCTCTTCCAGAGCCTCCCTCCACACGGCCCGCCCAAGTGCCGCTCTCAGGGGCGGAACGACCATCTCCTAAACGCTTTGGGGGCTCGCTAAGGCCGTGCGCCCGCTTTCAGTCCCTGACCCCGAGCTTCCCTGGCAGGGCCTCCCCAGCCCCCTCGCCCTCGCCGGACACACACACCTCAGCTCAGCCAAGGCAAGGGCCGACAAACTTCGGGTCTAGCTGGAAATGTTGCTGTCCACGGTCCTGTCACTCAGAGTCAGGGGCGGGACGAGCCGGCCGCACACCCCTAATCCCAACGGGCGGTACGAAAAGAGGCGGGGCTCGGAGGAAAAGGACGCGACCAGTCCCCAGCCCGCGCTCCGATTGGTCAGTCTCTCTCCCGCCTGTGCGCGGATCTGGGACGCCGAGGAGCCCGCCCTGCGGCCTCTTCTTCCTCCAGCGTGGAGTCCCAAACTCCAATACTTGATTTACGAGGTGACCCCAGAAATTAGAAATAAGGACTATAACTCGTTTGAGAAATATAAAACACGAGAGTACGTTCTTTTGATTGTTGAAGGCTTCTCACCTAATACACACATTCCCCATCCCCACTCTCCGGGAAGCATACCTTGGAGGAAGGAAGCATGAACTATCTACTATCTCTGAAAACAACTTTGTTTGCAGATTGAAGTTTTTCACAGATTAATTAATCTAGGAAAAGTGATTCCTGAATCATGAGCAACAATAGAACTTTGGAGGTATGTCCAGTTATTCAGTTTTCACGTCTACGAAATGGGAATGAAATACTAAGATATTATTTTTGGAAAGCATTTAACAGTTGAATGATTTATACCTTATAATCCCGTACTCCTCTCAACACCCAACAGAGCTGTTATTATCCAAGGCCTATGAACAATGAAACTGAGGCTCAGATAGGTTACATTTATTCAATCATTCAACAAATGAAAAAGTGCCTGTAGTCATTATTTTTTACTGTGGTGAATTGAATTTAAAATTCTTTCTTAAAATTATGCAATTTCCAATTTAATTTTTCAATTTTTCCCTTGCTCTAGTGTAAGTCATTTTCCTGTAGGCCAGCACATCCTAGTTTCCAAAAAAAAAAAAAAAAAAAGCCCTTGAGAAGGGAAATAGCACACAGAATAAAGAAGGACTGAGACAAATATAAATAGACTAACTAGAAGGTCTCTGAAATCTCTCAGGATATCAGGACCAGGAATTGAATCCAAAATGTAATTTTATTTTCTTTTCTCCTAAATCATTTGCTGGTCTCCAGTTCCTCTCCTAGAAATAAAGGTAGAGTTAAATGAGATTATCTTAATACTCTTAACCAGATTTGTATGCGTGTGGTTTTAAAATAGTGCAACTTTTTTCCTTCTATATTAAACCAATACCCAGAAGTGTTTATCTTGTCCAATACAGTAGTAATAATAACAGAAAAAACAAAACAGTATTTCTGGACAAGTGCTTTGAGATTCAATTAAAAATGTCCACTATACTATGATAAAATTGTTGGGATAAAAGACACATTCCAATTGCAAATGATTTTATTCTCTTGTCCTGCTGAATTTTCAAATTCTTCTGAAAGCTCACTAACTATAAATAACTCTCCACAAAATTTCTTGATTTGTATGACTCATGATCACCATTATGTTTCTTTAATCTTTTAAAAATATTTGTTTTAGACTAAAAAGAAAGAGCTATGACTGTATATTAATAAGTATGTTATATAAATAAATACTGTAAGATTTAAATAAAAGTGAATTATTTATTTGAATCCTTTTTCAATTGCATATTCAAGTAAGTACAGCAAATGCATTTGTTTAGTCTCACATATATAAGAGATTATACATTTAAATAAATGTATTGTATGCATGTAAATGTGTAATCATTGAAATAAACACAGCTGTATATTTCCCATATGTATAGCTCCAGATGTTTGAAGCATACATTCAAATTTATGGAACTCTACACCTTGCTATCTAGTTAAACACCCAGTAGAAATTACTGTGCTACATATACATAAGAATACATATCAAAACTCTGTCTGCAATGAGGAAATAAGGTTAGAACAATGGATAATGAGTCTCTGCCACTGAATTTCTTATCTTGAACATTTTCTTTTGAAATAGCTTGTCCTGGTGAGTTGTTCTGCAAGCACTTTACTATTTTATAAAATGAGCACTAGCCAACTTACCCTATATGAGTAAGACTATTGCAAAGTAGTTTTGCAAGTATTTATCCAAATAGTTAAACTCCAAAAAATAATTTTCTAGTTAACATCTTCACTTTGGAGTTGGAGAGTCTCATGTTATCCATGCTTCAGTTGTTTATTTTTTAACTTATGCTTCTGCTCCAATACTTGGAACATATATAATTTGAAATTTCCCCATAGGCACCAATATACATTAGAAGAAATTATGAAGTACAAACTAACCTAATATGAAAATAAAATGTATCTTAGGGATATTGAACAAGAAGTCAGTGACTAATGTAAAATTAAAGCATCCAGATGTATGTTATGAATATGCTTATTTCTTTTTTTTTTTAGTTTTATTTTATAATTTTTTTTCAGTGTTCCAAGATTCATTGTTTATGCACCAACTCAGTGCTCCATGCAGTATGTGCCTTCCGTAATACCCACCACCAGGCTTACCCAACCCCCCACGCTCCTCCTCTCCGAAACCCTCAGTTTGTTTCTCAGAATTCTTTACCATGTAATGACAGGCATGCTACATTTAAATTTGTGATAAGTTGAAATGTAAATTAGAATCTAATAATTATATGTGCTAACACTTTGGTCTAGATGAATATGCATATAGCTTAAAATTTGGGGGTACCAATTTGGATCATTTGCAGAAATTACGGTTCTGTCAAAATATATGAAATTCATTGGGTATATTAAAATAAGAAATATAATATCAAATTATTTAATATTTTTCAGCAGTCCTTTGCCTTAAATTTTTAAGTTTAAATATCCAAATTAGCCCTCTTGGTAGCTGGAAAATGACTGTGTAATAGGTCAAATATGCATATTACTCTTTCTGTTAAGTCATCTTAGAATATAAAGAGGCATTTAGGGTGAATTTTGTTTAAAACATGTAAAGAAATTATTTTTCATGCGAATTCTTTTAAGAAATCCCTGTGATCCCCAAAGTCTGTGCCTGAAAATCTTGGTTTTAGCCCATAGGACTATATTGAAACCACTTAATAAAACCTTGAAAATGGATATGCTTTTCTTAAGGAAAAACTTCCTTTGCAAAATTCAGAAAATTAATAATCAAAAAATTTTCTTCATTCATTTGTATAATATTTGAAATTATAGCTATATAGCACATATATAGAATGAACTCCCTGGAAAGAACTGACATACATTATTAAATACATATTTCTGTATTTGTTTGATTTTTGATTACTTCAATGCAAGATTGTCTCTGAAATCTGAAATAAAATTATATCTCAAAATATTCTTCAGATGATACAAGAATTATTTCATGTGCATGGAAGAAAGATGGATCACATATTACAAATATTTTGAGGATATAATTTCAAATGTATAGCTGTTAGCTATTTCTTTAACTGGCAAATGACATGTAGATAAAAGGTAGCCAGTTGAAAATGTTCAGATTTACTTTTTTTTTTCAGTTTATTGAAATTTAATCCAATGTGATAATGACTGTAAACATTCTAAAAACAAGATAGTTTACAAATAATTCACTGACAGCATTTTTTTTCTCTTCTTAAGTGTACACATCATAATAACGACCTTTTTTCAGTTAATAGCCCCCTTATAATTCAGGAGGTGAATCATTAATCAAAACTGCTTTGATCTCATGCCCCTCCACTTTCAAAACAAGGCTTCTGAATTCCTCACATCCAGAGAATGGAGCAAATGCAGGTTTCATAGTTTTCACTGCTACAGGACAGAATTGAGGCACAGCATCTCAATGTACTCTTGTCACTCACCATTGCTAAGACTTATCAATATTATATTCATTTAATGTCACACTGATAACAGCAATCTTCCTATGCTCCCCCTATATCTTAACCCCCAGCTTCTCTAACTCAAGTATTCCAGAGCCCACTTACCAATACTTTACATGTTCTTTTGCTTATTGTCATTCATCACTTTTTATTGTACTTTATACATAATTTACCTATTTGCTATGTGATCTACTTATTATCTTTCTCTACCTCAAGAATGTGAGTTGCTCAAGTGTAGAGATCCTGTCAGTTTTTAACTTATGTATGCCAAGTGCTGAGATCAGTGCCAAGCACCTAATGTACACTCAAAAAATTTTTGATTAAATTAATTGTTCTGCATAGTTGTGATTAATTTAGTTCCATGTAATATTCTAATGCATGAATATGCCACAATCTCTTCTTCTATTGTAGGGCTTTGGGGCTCTTTCCAGGTTTGTTCTATAATAAATAAGGTGGTTATAAACCGTCTTATGTAAGTTTCCTGGTGTAGATTTTATAAGACTTTCTCTTTGGTTTATGACTATGAGTAGCATCACAGATTTGTAAAGCATGGCACATTCTAAATGAAAATATAATACTAAATTTTTTCCCCAAGGTGTTGTACTATTTTGCCCTCCTAACAGAAGTATTTGTGAGATTCAAATGTATTGACCTTTCCAGAAAACCAAATTTCGACTTTGTTAACTTTCTCATATTTGCTTTCTATTTCAACAATTTCTGTTTTTCATCACTATTTCTTTTTTCTACCAACTTAATTTTATTCTTCTATATACTTAGTAGAAAGTAAGATCATTGATTTAAATTGTTATCCTTTAAAATTGTAGGCATTTAAAGCTAGGAAATTACTTCTAAAGACTGCTTTAGTAATAGCCCATAAATTTTGACGTTGTGTTTTATTAGCATTCATGTGAAAATATTTTTAAATTTCTGTGAGTTTTATCATTGGGTTATTTATTTTGAATGTGTTGTTTGAGTCCAAGTATTTGGGGTTTTTCCAAATATCTTATTTATTATTGACATTTAATTTAATTCCATTGTTGTTAAAGAACATACTCTAAGATTTCAGACTTCTGAAAATTACTGAATAAAATTACTATAAAAACTTATTTTATAGCTGGCCATATGGTTTATCTCAATGATTGTTCCCAGTGTACTTGAGCAGAATGTGTTTTCTGCAATTGTTTGATGTAGTGTTCTATAATTTTTGAATTAATAATATGTATCCTTAAATTATTGCTAAGATTCATCAGTGTTATATCCATACAGTATTATATATTTAAGAGTGATCCCTCTATCCCCTTCCTTCACACTGTCCCTAGTTTT